ATACCTGCTTCTGTACATGCTTGCTTGCTCACATACCCTTAATCCAAATTCCTTAACAAGGGCTAAGACAACTATATAAGCAACCCACCCCCTGAGCTTGGGGCTGTTCTCTTCTCTGTGTAGGATGGGACAGTCACCACACGGCTAATAAAGCTCTCTTAATTTGAACCCAGTTTGGAATCTGAGTCTAGTCTGTCTCTTTGGTCTACAACATTTGGAGGTCCCAGCAAGATGGACAAACGAGGTCCCCCACATCGGTGGTGTGACCTCCTCATACTCCGGGAGACAGGTCCATCCCAGGAGCAGACGGGAAGTCTAGGGGAAGGCCTTGGAGAGACGATCCTCTGCCCCAGATGCCATTCTGCCCTGGAACTGTCTACACTCCAAAATTCCATCTAGAGAGCATCTTGAAACCCTGGGCCCAGGTTCGGTTCAGCAGATGGGACGTCTCTCAGTAAGTCTGTTTCTGAAAATTCTGCAGAATAAGGGAAAGTGGATCTACTGGATACAGCACATAGATCCAGCCCCAGGGCCATAGTGAGACATCGCTTTTGGCCCCGGTTTGGTTTGGCTGTTTTTTTTTTTTTTGTCTTATTTGTCCTTTTGTGTTTTGTGTTTCTGTGCTGTGCCAGCCTGTGTCCTTCAAAATGGGTCAGGGACCTTCAGGACCTAGGAACCCTCTTCAATGTCTCCTTAATAAATTCGCAGACTTTTTCAAGTGTGCCTCACGTTACAGCATCTCAGTAGACCCTGGATTCTTGTGCACTTTGTGCAAATTGAAGTGGCCCACTTTCCGGGTCAATTGGCCCTCCCAGGGCACTTTTGACTTAAGCTCTTTGTTTGCAGTTTGAGGCATCATCTACGGGACTCCTGGACACCCAGACCAAACTCCTTACATCAATGTTTGGATTGACCTAGCTACTGACAAGCCTAATTATATTAAGAAATATTTGTGCACTAATAGGGAGAAGATTTAAATTGCCCAGCTTCCGCAGAAGCCTCAGAAGCCCTCGGCTCCTGCTCCCTCCCAAAGGCTTTACCCTGTTCTTTCAGGTCCCCCAGAAGACCCCCTCACTGACCCTGTAGGACCACCCCGTTATCAGTCTCCGCCACCTGCCACTGCCGTGGCCAGAGAGGCTGAAGCCCTTCAGCCGCTCAGTCCTCCCCATACACGTGGTGGCACCCCTTACAACCCTACTCCGCAGGTGCCAAACTCCTCGATTGCCATCCTGCCCCTCCGTCAGGTTCCTCCACCACCAGGTGGAGACCAGACTCAGCCCTTCATGCTTTATGTCCCCTTCTCAACAAGTGATCTATATAATTGGAAACAACAGAACCCCTCCTTCTCTGATAAACCCCAAGGTTTAATCGCTCTCTTAGAGACAGTCTTCCACACCCATCAGCCCACTTGGGATGACTTTCAGCAATTGTTGCAGGTCTTGTTCACCTCCAAGGAGAGGGACAGGATCCACAGAGAGGCAGCAAAATCCATCCTCGGGCCAGACGGCCAACCCCTCACAGATCCGGCCCAAATAGGAGCCTACCTCCCAAGTACCCAACCCAATTGGGACCCGAACACTGATCAAGATAAGGAGGCTTTAACCTAGTATCGCTGATCTCTACTTCAGGGCCTCTGCGGAGCAGCCAAAAAGCCAACTACTCTGTCTAAGGTAAGCGAGACTGTTCAAACCGCAGGGGAATCTCCAGCGGCCCTTCTTGAACGTCTCATGGAGGCTTATCGCCTCTTTACTCCCATAGACCCGGAGGCCCCTGAGAATAGACAGGCAATTAATATTGCTTTTGTCTGCCCCAGACATTAGGAAGAAACTGCAGAAATTAAAGGGTTTTGAAAAAAAGAATCTTAGTGAATTAGTTGAAATAGCTCAGAGAGTATTTAATAACCAGGACGACCCAGAAAGGGTCAGTACAAAAAAAGTCACAAGAGTAATCATAGCGGCTCTTCAAGAGAATCAAAAAGAGCAATGGGGAAATAGGTCTAAAAACATAGGGCCAACCCCACAAAGACCTAGGCAACAATCTCAGCCACTTCTTGACCCTAACCAATGTGCCTACTGCAAAGAATATGGTCATTGGAAAAAGGACTGCCCTAAGAAGGGGGCCCAACAGAAACCTAAGGACCTCATCTGCCAATACCCGATCTCCATAAAGGCCAAACTAGAAATAACTATGCATATTAATAGACTCAGAGAAGCTGGCATTTTAACGCCTTGCCGGAACGCTCCCCTCTTGCCGGTTAAGTAGCCTGGGACTGAGGATTTTAGGCCGGTCCAAGATTAAAGGGAAGTAAACACTCAGGTGGACACCATCCACCCCACGGTTCCAAACCCTCACATGCTTCTGAGCCTGATCCCTCATAACCGTGTTTACTGTACTGTCTTGGACCTCAAGGATGCCTTCTTTTCAATTCCTCTATTGCCTCTCAGCCAACCCATCTTCGCCTTCAAATGGTTGATCCAGAAGGGGGATTCTCAGGACAACTGACCTGGACCCGACTGCCTCAAGGATTCAAGAACTCTCCCACCATCTTTGATGAAGCCTTAAGCAAGGACCTCCAACTGTTCTGGGAAAGGTACCAACATTTCACCCTGCTACAGGATTTGCTTCTACCAGCTGCTTCTCTTCTTGAATGTGAGGAGGCCTCAAAGGCACTCCTTCTAGAGCTACAACACTTAGGGTATCGGGTCTCAGCGAAGAAAGCTCAGTTGTGCACCACCACTGCGACCTACCTAGGTTATGAACTCAAAGAAGGAAAACAGTCGCTCCCCAATAGCAGAATAGAGGCAGTCATAAAAATCCCTACCCCCACAACCAAGAGACAGGTTCAGGAATTTCTTGGGGATGTAGGGTACTGCTGCCTCTGGATTCCTAGCTTTGCCGAGATCGCTAAGCCTTTCTATACCAGCACAGGGGGAAAAAACAATGCCTTAATCTGGACTGAGATAGAACAACAGGCCTTTGAGAAACTAAAAATGGCCTTAATGTCTGTGCCAGCCCTAGCTCTGCCTGATATCACTAAGCCCTTTCAGCTCATTATCTCTGAGACTCAAGGCATTGCCAAAGGGTTCCTAACCCAATCATTAGGGCCCTGGAAGAGACCAGTTGCCTACTTATCTAAGAGATTAGCCTCCAGCTAGCCCAGCTGCCTGTGAGCCATAGCAGCTACTGTTATTTTAGTTAAAGAAGCATCCAAGCTAACCCTAGGGCAAGACCTCCAGATTACTGGGGCACACTATTGAGGCTTTCCTCAGGACCCCTCCAAACCGGTGGATGTCTAATGCCCGAATCACCCAATACCAGGTACTCCTCTTTGACTCCTCCCAAATCCAGTTCCTGAAGACCTCTGCCCTCAATCCAGCTACCCTGCTGCCTCATGATGACCCTCAGGCTCCCCTTCATGATTGCTCAGACATTCTTGAGACTCTAACTAACCTGAGGTCTGACCTGACAACCCTCTCCCAACTCCAGAGCATGCTCTCTATACAGATGGGAGCAGCTTCATCCGGGAAGGAGTCTGATATGCAGGAGTGGCGGTGGTCACACAAGATAAGGTCATCTGGGCCCAGGCACTAGGGCATGGGACTTCAGCTCAGAGGGCTGAACTAATTGCTCTCACTCAGGCTTTAAGATGGGCAAAAGGCAAGTCAGTAAACATCTACACTGACAGCCACTATGCCTTTGCCAAAGACCATATACACAGGGCCCTCTACCAAGAAAGGAAACTCCTAACCTCAGGAGGAAAACATCACAAATAAAGAAGAAATTCTTGCCCTCCTGGAGGCCATTTGGCTACCAACAAATGTGGCCATTATCCACTGCCGGGGCCACCAGAACTCCGACACCCCTGAAGCTAAGGGGAATGCCTTTGCTGATCAGACAGCCAAGGAGGCTGCCCTAAGACCAGTGGGGCCACTAGAGATCCTTCCAGCCCTTCCAGGGGAAAGCCTCCACAAAGAGCCCTCCTATACCCAACAGGAGGAAGAACTTAGATGGAGGCTCAACTGTAACCAGGGGCCTTGAGGTTGGAGGCTTCTCTCCAACGGGAGAATCCTTTTACCTGTGGCCCTAGGCCGAGTGCTGATCTCTCAGGTGCATCAGGGCACCCACCTAGGCAAGACTAAACTCCCCAGTCTCATAGCCCAGGACTTTTATGTCCCAAACCTCAACTGCTGAATAGAATCTGAAATAAGGAGATGCCCTGTCTGTGCCCAAGTCTACTCACCCTCAGGAAAAAACAGACCTCAGGACCCGAGAACAAGGCACAGCTCCTGGTGACCACTGGGAAATTGACTTTACTGAGGTCACCCCAGGCCAATATAGCTATAAATATCTGCTTGTTTTCATAGATACCTACTCCGGCTGGACTGAGGCTTTGCCTACCAAGACTGAAACTGCAACCACGGCAGCCCGGTTACTGCTCTCTGAGATAGTCCCCCGATTTGGCATCCCGCTAGCTCTGGGGTCCGACAATGGCCCAGCATTCATTGCTAAAACCACAAAATTGTTAGTGAAAGTGTTAAGGATTACCTGGAAATTGCATTATGTCTACAGGCCTGAGTTCAGGACAGGTAGAAAGAATGAATAGGACATTAAAGGAAACTTTAACTAAGCTCCACCTTGAGACGGGCGATAACTGGATAAGGCTCCTTCCTTTTGCCCTCCTTCATGTGTGCTATACCCCTTATCTTAAGGGTTTCATCCCATTTGAAATTATGTTTGGCCAACCTCCCCCTATTGTACCCCAAATCGGGGACGAGGTCTTAGCCAAACTAGGTAACCATAACCTTCTCAGCTCTTTGCAGGCAATCTGGAGGCTGAGAGAACAGACCCGACAGTTAATCAAGGACACCAGATCCCAACCGGGGATATCCCAGATACCACTGCATGACTTCACCCCTGGTGACTGGGTCTGGGGCAAGAAACATCAGCCTGCTTCCCTCGAGCCTTGCTGGACTGGCCCTTTTCCTGTTATCCTGACTATGCCCACCGCTCTGAAGGTAGCAGGATGGAAATTTTGGATTCACCACACTCAGGTAAAGAAAGCACACCCTGAGCAAATACCTGAACAATTGGCCTTACAGTGGACCGAAGATCCCCTGAAGATAAAGCTCTCCAGAGTTTCCTCCTAGTCTCTTTCCTGACTCTGATCACTGGTAAAGCGCCTACCCAATTTAAATGCACTCAAGGGCAGCCACTGCTATGAAGGTACAGGCCCCTGCTTGACCTCGGAGTCCTACAAGGACAGGGGACATGCTTTATCATTGGCAACTATGACCTAAGCTCTTCCCCTTATGCAGACTCATGTGGGGACACTACTACCCTAACCCCATTAAGCCTCTCATCACAAGAGACTTGGGTCCCAACTGCACCCCCCGGGACTTGGTTTGCTTGCGCCTCAGGACTGACTCCCTGTGTCTTTTCCGTTGGAACCAAAGACTTATGTATTTTTGCTAACATTATTCCACAAGTTTATTTCTTCTCTGTTTGGCCTTAGGAGAAACCTGTTGCTTTTATGCTAACCAATCTGGTATTATTAGAGAAAGCATAAAATTAGTTAGACAGTGACTAGATGAACGAGAACAGGCTTTATCCACCTCTAAAAATTGGTATGAGAACCTCTTTAATTGGTCCCCATGGTTCACTACTCTTATCACTAGCCTTTCGAGCCCCTTACTCCTCCTCCTATTAATATTAACTTGTGGCCCAATCCTAATTAATCGCTTAATGCACTTTTTTAGAGAAAAAGTACAGGCTGTTAAGTTCATGGTTCTTAGCACTCCCTATCAGAGGCTAGCCACAATGGAAGAAATTGAAGACACTTTAGAATCAAAGATTTGATTTAACCCTAAGACCAGTGGGGAATGTAAAGGACAAACACATGACCTTGCCCCCTGGATTTTAAGGGAATGGCAAGAACTATCTGCTAATAGATAACCACTGCATTGTATGGATAACCATTGCTTTGTGTACACAGAAACTGATTGTTCCCTCAGGCATAACAGCTAACTGCAAATATTTGCTTCTGTATGTGCTTGCTTGCTCGCATACCCTTAATCCAAACTCCTTAACAGGGGCTAAGACAACTATATAAGCAACCCACCCCCTGAGCTCGGGGCTGCTCTCTCTTCTGTGTAGGATGGGACAGTCTCCACAGGGCTAATAAAGGTCTCTTAATTTGAACCCAGTTCGGAGTCTGAGTCTAGTCTGTCTCATTGGTCTACAACACAAGTCCAGGAAGTACAGAGAGTCCCAAACAAGATAAAACCAAAGAGGCTCACACCAAGACACATCATAATTAAAATGCAAAAGGTTAGCCCTGGCCAGTGTGGCTCAGTTGGTTGAGCATCATCCTGTGCACCAGGTTGATTCCCAGTCAGGGCATATATGTAGGTTGCAGGTTTGCTCCCCAGTCAGGGTGCATACGGGATGATGAACATGTCCTTAGGTGAGGGTTAAAAATAAATTGGTTGTTAGAGAATAGTAATGGGGTTATAAAGTACAGCATAGGGAATATGGCCAATAATATTCTAGTAACTATGTATAGTGCCAGATGGGTACAAGATTTGTCAGGATGATCACTTAGTACTTGATATAATGTCTAATCACTGGGTGTACACCTGAAACTAATATTGTATATCAACTATAATCGAAAAATTTTAAAAATGACTTAAATAAAAATAAAATAGAATTAAGGCTGTAAAAGTGTGAGGCGACAGGAGTGAGGAGTAACAGAAACATGGTGGGGATGTACCTAAGAAAGACCACATGAATGTATGAGTGTTGAAAGAAAAAATGTATGAGGGGGACAATAGGGAATGTTGAAGGGAAAAGGATAGAGATGATGTTGAGAGGGAGAGGAAGGAGCACAGAGGGAGAAGGAAGAAAGATGAAGAGGAGCTAAGAAAGAGAGGAATATCCAATAGGGAGGGTAGAGAGAGAAGAGCAAAGAGGAAGAAGGAGAGCTCAGGAGGGAGCCTGAGAAGGAGCTGAGAGGGTGGTGAAAAAGCAACCAAGGCTCTCTTCACCATGTCAGGACACACACACACACACAAAAATGGCTGTGTGTAAGGTAGGAAGAGGGCTCTCACCACAACCTAACCATGCTGGCACCCTGATCTACCCACCCCCACCCACTATCATTCCTGTAGTCCATTATCTTGCTCTACTTTTTCTATAGCATTTATTGCTATCTACCATATTATAGAATTCACTTTGAAATATATTGTACCCACACAAATTTAACTCCATAAAACTAGATATCCTTGTCAGCTTTGTTCACTGATATATTCTACACACTTGGAACAGTGACTGGTATCTAGTTAAAGCTCTACAAATATTTGTCAAATTATTCAATCTCAGTCTTTTTCTCCTTTCTTCCTAGTATTTATTCATATGTAGCTCAATATTTACCACACAGTTTATCCTTTCTGCCAATGGGAAACGGAGAGACCAAGATAAAGGAAGAGGGCAGGGCCTAGGGGATGGGTGAAGCCTAGAGGGAAAAGGGAAAGGAAGTAGGGAGCTGAGAGTGAGGGGAAGGGGAGTAGCAGAGACCGAAGGGAAAGAGCTTATACTCATAGAAAAAGAGAAAAGGGGGAACTGTGAAGGAGGAGGAGGAGCTTAGAGGGAGTTGGAGGAACCTAGAGGAAGGGAAAGGGGCCTAAAGCCAGGGAAAGAGGATCAGAGAAAAAGAGCGATCAGGGTCCGCCAAGTGAGAGGCTACGAGTTTGAGACCCTGAGACATACCTACAGAGAAGGCTCTGGCACCCCATTTCGAGTCAAAGAGTCTCCGACTCAGGTCTTCCCGGTGTGCCAGTCGCCCCTGCCTGAAACCCTCCCCTCACATCTCCATTCTTTCTTCTTATCCTCACCTTGGTCTGCCTCGAAATAGTTGACTGGAGCCAACCCGGGGAGGTATAATGTGGGGCAGCGGGCGGTCTGAAGCCCCTGGAACAGCCCCAGCAGCCACCTCAGTCCAGGAAGGGGTGGGCAGAGGTTGGAAACCACCAGTACTCATTTTAGGAGCTGGCTTAGCGCTCAGGACACACTTCATGAGCGAGATCGAACCAGTGGCGGGGAGAAGCGGAAATAACAAGGAAGAACGGTGGACAGGGAAGAGCCGAGTCGACTGGTAGGAACAAAACTCCCCGGAAGGCCACTTATTCTGTTGACACACTGGCTTGGAACCCGGTTTCTAGGTGCCTGGCTGGGTTTGTATGTACTCACAGTACTTGTGCGTGTGGGTCCGTGCCGCACTTTCTACCCCGACCGCCTCGGCCAGCCCCTCCCCCACCCCGCCGACCCGAGCTAGGCACTTTCCTGGGGTTTAGGGGGTGCTTCACCCACTGCCTTCAGTGCTGTAACGCAGAGCTGGGGGGTGCGGAGATGGAGGGGAGGCTGTGTTATAGGTCTCAACATTTCAGCATCCCAGGGTGTTCCGTCCTCCCGAATTTGCCTTTCTCAGCCCTAAATTAGTAGGATTACCGCCCCCGCCATCTTTATTTCTTGCTGGGGCGGGGGGAATGGCCGTGAGGCGAGGAGGGAGAAGAGGGGGAATTCCAGAGCCTTGAGGCCCAGTTTGGTGGCTGTTAGGTGCTTGAAATGCAGCTAGTCCGAAATTAATGTTCTGTAAATGTCAAATGCACACTGGTTTCAAAGACTCTGCACAGTAAAAAGAATGCAAAAACTTCTCCATTTTTTATATTGACTACATGTTGAAATAATAATATTTGGGTTTATTAAGTTAAAACATTAAAATCCATTTCAGCAGTTGCTTTTTATTTTTCAACTGTGGCTACTAGAACATTTAAAATTACTTTTGTAGCCCTGGCCAGTTTGGCTCAGCTGTTGGAGCGTCAACCTGCAGACCAGAGAGTCCTGGGTTCAGTTCCCGCTAGGGGCACTTACAAAAAATAAGTAATTAAAATTACTTTTGTGGCTCGTGTTATATTTCTATTGGCTAGTGGAGGTCTGAGCAAGAAGTAAGGAAGGGGATAAGACTAAAGAAGAGCCCGGGAGAAAGGGAGTTTCTCTTAGATTTGGCAAGTAAGTTTATCTTAGGGGCAAGGATCTTATTTTACAATCTTTGTTAGAATCCTTGTCGCCCCTACCTTCTGCTCCTTGTGCTGTCCTATAATGCAAAGTGCTTGTATTAGGACCTAGAGCGTATTGTCGGTATTGTAGGACAAAGACAGCAGAAGAGCTTATTTTTCTACCTGTGTCTCAGAACTTTAGAGAACAAGAGGTCATTTGTTTATGCTGAGACTTGTGCCCCTTCCTTAGTGCCTATCTGCCCAAGTTCCCTCCTTCCAAGAGGTCTGAGTTCCGATGATTGTCAGGTTCTGATTCAAGAAAGGACAAAGCCATTTGCAGAAGCCTGTATATATGTAGCAAGTGAAGGCTTGGACTAGAGAGGTTGGAAAAGTAAGAAAAATGAAAGGAGAAAATGTACGAACAATCAGAATTAGGGGACTTGTGAGAGTGAAAAGACTGAAATTTACCTAAAGAACTGAAGAAACCCATGTAAAGATTTGGAGAACAGGAAAAGGGAGCTAGGAAGCATGAGAATGATCACGGTTGGAGGTAACCAGAGCTTGAAAACTCTTGTGTTTCACCACTGCATTACCACAGCTTTCTGGTCTGCTTAGGATGAAAAAGTTTATATGTTAAAATAAATAGGGTGCTCTGCCAGCCTCTTAGGCCTGGGCCCAGGCATCTAGTGGTTGCACTAGGATGGGACAGGTCAGGACTGCTGTGGGACTGGGCAGCCTGAGGAGCAGGAGGACTCTCATCAAGTGAGGGGACCATGGAATGTTGGCACTTCTTGGGGCAGTTGTGCCACCCAGGCCACTTACAGGATGCCAGCACTACCCCTCTGAAGACACAATAGAGAGATGAGAAAGAGGAAAGAGCAGTAGTCAGCATGTTCATGATCCTTTTGGCCTTCATCATCATTCATCCTCTATAATCCCAATGTTGCCCAGCAGGACCTTATCTGTTGATATCAAAAAGTGAAGCATCACCAAATGGTACA